TTGATTGGGTTGACGGTTGATTGGTTACTGGCTACAGGGGTAAGTCTTGTTCTGCCTTTACTGATTAGGTTGATTCAGTACAAACAGTATACCCTCATTTACTTGCACAGGCAGTGCTGCAGTTTTAACTGTGTCAGTTACTCCAAGGAGGTGACCGAAAACTTCTGTGATTTTAAACACATCTGTTCCCTGAAGCTCACTGCAGTTTCTGAAGTGTTAGTGCTCATGCAAGGGAGGTGGGTGGATGGGCTTGGAAGATCTGCAAGGGCAGTTGGAGTTTAGACTAGGTTAAAGTGATACAGAATCACAGCCTTAATCCTTGAATATAGTACATTAAGCTTAAATGCTGTCATCTGTGGAGGGAAGACACTAGTCAACACTGCCAGCTTTTCCTCTCCTTCTTCCATGCAGATACATAAGGCATCCTGGCAACAAAGAAAGCCCATCCAGGAAGGTGAAGATGCTTCTGCATGCATCTAGAAGAATTGTTTTGAAGCAAATATTGCTCCAGCATCTGTAGTCACTACTACAAAGACAGTGAGGCTGGTTGAAGGGCCTGGCCTTCTGAGTATATGTAGTGGTTTGTATGTGGTAATGGCAATCTTTCCAAATCTGTGCGTTCAGACAGCACTGCAAAACCCCCGACAAGACACAGATGTTTCTGTGAAGAGGTCTGATAGCTAAAGCAGCTTCCGGTTATTTTCAGACGTGCTTCTTGTTGAGTAAAAAGGACAAAAAAACCTTTCCTCTCTAGGTCACAACTGCTCTGATTTATTCAACTCACCTGAAGTGCCTTCTGCTTCTCTAAGAACAGGAAAAATATTAGAGCCTTTACCACAGAGGTTGGTTTATTTTCTATTTACAGTTAGTAATTAATGTTACTGGGAGATGTGTCAGAGCAGACAGTAATATGTACAGTGCCAAACAGTGCAGCACTGGGGAGATGGTTACTGAGTCTGACTCACAGTATGGGTCATGGTACTTGGTCCAAGTATGGCAGTGGCATGACAAATTGATGTATTGCACAAAGGCAGGAGTTTTGTGGGTGTAAATAACCTTCATGTCTGCTGATCTTTACATTGTGGTAGAGAATGCATCCGGTTTCCTTGCCCAAAAGTAAGTACTCACCCAGTGTAATGTGGGTTACTCCAGTAAACAGAAGAGTTGCTGAAACTCATGCAGAAGGACATGTGGCTTTCTCAGAATCCTGTAAGAGGCTGAGACAGCTCTGTCATTTCTTCAGCCTGTTATCCACAAAATCTGGTCACTTGAGAGACTGGCAATCCAGTTTGCCATAAACCAGTGCATGGTGTCCCTGAAGAACTTGACAGCATAAAGAAACTTGTGAGAAGGTGTAACTGTCTTTTGTTGTTGTTCAGTTGGTTGGGGTTTTGTGTTTGTTTTATTATAAAGGCTAATGGAACCTGTGCAATATATTGCATATTGGTTTTGGAACCTAAGCTAGAGAAATCTTATGGCCTTTTTCATTGTGATGTTAGCTAATCACGCCATGTAACGAAGCTAGCACAAATAGAGTTGCAGAATCCTTGCAGATAAAAGCATGTGAAAGGCTGTTTTATTGCTGTAATTTAGTTTGCAGAAATTGGATCACAGCCACTTCCTACAGACTCATTTGAATGCTTTAGTGTGAAATCCACTCAGGTGGAAAGCACTTATACCTACAGATCTTTGAGTAATTTGGTGAATCAGTGGAAGAGTTAGTGGGAGAACAACAGGGTACCAGAGCTGCCCTCAAATCTGCAGTTAGTTACTTGCAGGTTTCTGTGTCCATCAGAAGCCTTCCAGCTAATCCTAGCAGAGTCCTGCTGAGCTGTGTGCTGGAAGGCTGGCTGCTTACTAGTGCCTGGCAACTCCTTTCTGCTCCTCTTCAGAGATAAAAGAAAGACTTTACTTTAAAGGGATGGACTGGAAACATATTATCTTAACAGATTTCTGTAAAAATAAACCTCATCTGCATTGTGGATGTTTCTGAATAAAATACAGATGTAGAAACTGGTCATATTAACATGTATAAGTAGGGACATTTGTATGTTATGGTAAAGATGTTTGGTGGGGGAGTTGTTTTCTTGCTTTGGTTGTTTTTCCCTACCTCTCATCCCTGGGCATGCGTTTTCCTTTTTGACTGTAAAAATTGAGTTCTGTCAGCAGATGTCAGTTCAACTTGGTGCTTCTGGCTGTGACTCCTTCCACAAAGGAAAGAGGAATTTGTTCTATTATAATCTGTGGCAGCTAGCTAAAGGAACTTATTTATTCTGTGTCCTTCAGCAATGCTTTTAGCTAAAATCTAGTCCCTTCTGAGGGATGCTTTGAATTAGTTTCTTGAGAGATGCTGTCTGAAATGAGTGTATTTACATTGTACAGAGGTGTGAATGCGCTAGGTTAGGATAATTTTTCTTGATGGAACTGCAAAAACTCATTGTCTGAAGTAGTAGGAAAAGCAAAATAATTGTACTTGCCCTGGTGCCATCAGGTGGACCTGCTGCTGGTGCCCTGTCCACAGTAAAAGAGGAGTGCTTTTGTTGGCCTTATCCATGAAGACACAGAGTAGCCTATATCTAGGGACCAGCAAGGCATTTCTAATACAAAACCTAACTGTTCTGCTAGGTACCCTGAAATTAACAGGGCAATAGCTTCCAGTTGAAAAATCAGATTCTTCTTCCAGCTGCTGAAGAGTTTGGAATCATTTCAATATAAATAGGTGGTTTTCATTTCTGTGGGCAAGATGGTCACTTCCGGGCACAAGAAATAAAGGATGGTTTTGCTTTGCACTGATTTTGCATGTTGTAAAGAGACTAAACCTTTGTCCTGAGAAAAGGAATGTCAGTAAGCAGTTGGTAGAGCTGTGGCTGTGTCCTCTCTTAGATCTCTCTCCCTTCAAGCCTTCAGCGTTGAAACAAGATTGTTGCTTCACAGCAAATAGCACCTGGGACACAGCATTGCAACCTGTCATGTGCCTTATGAGGATATTTCTTGTGTTAGAATAATATTACTTGCTCTGGAGATATTTGTTTCACAACTTCTTGCTTAATTTGGCGAGCATCATAAGAGGCTTTAATATTTCTGTCAAAATAGTACTAGCACCAGATCTCTGTGGGTCACAGTGGTGACAGTGAAGTGCTGTTTTATGTACCCGTAGTAAGTACTTTTTATTTGTCATCTTAGTATTCTATCTCTACTTGTAACATGGTTATTCCCAGTACTAAAGTAACTTCAAATTCCCACTGTTGTGGCTGTTTCTTTTGTCACTATTAATAGGTTCTTGTGATATGCTTGTGTTTCGATAACAGGTACTTTCCCACAACATTTCCAGACTTCTGTCATATGTTTATTCCCAGTAGAAATTGACCCAGCAATATTGTTGTGGTACAGACAAGAGGTTTCTTGAGAGTTCTTTATTGAAAACTAAGAGAAATTCCATACCTTGCATTTTAGATTAATGTAACAAACTTAGTAAACTATAAAACGCAGATCACTTTATTCCAAGATCATGTCTTCTGAAAGACATGATGGAGAACTCCTTTCAGATGCCCAACTCGGTGTCTGTATTCATAGTCCTGTTGGAGGAGACAGAGTGAAGGCAGAGAAGTCTAATACCAGAGAAAGCAGAGAAGGCAATCTTGGCAGTTAAAATAAGCAGGTGCTACATGCTAGTGTGTTTTGAAGAGGTGCCCACAATGGTCAAGCTGTTCCAATGATGAATGTGTTATTTTCATCAAGACCAGAACACCATTTCAGTATTCTGGCTTTAAAAGGAAAATCCATAGGTGGGTATTTGATTTGAAAGGTTTGCTTTCCTTCAAGTGCTTTTAAGCTGGGTTTTTTCTGTTATATTTAGGGGCATCTTTGTAGGTGCTCTTTACAACAGAGAAATCAGTTGCTGGAGTGGGAAATGGCTGTTCATCTTGAACTACACAGTATTTATGAAATGTCAGGATGAGCTGTGGTCAGTAGCTGAAATATGCTTAGATCAGTGGATAATTAATTTCCTATATGGCTGCACAGTGTAAAGACACTAGTTTGCTAAGATCCAGACAAAACATGTTTCTGTGTTCCATTTCATGTGCTTTGTGGCACACCATAATCATGCCCAAAGAGATGCTGAGAAAAGAGATGCTTGTAGATAATTTCCTCCCAGTTTTTGAACTTCATTGCCCTCATGAATCTGAAATAGCTCAGTTGCTTGTGAGGCTGACTGAGGGCTTGCTGAAACTAGAGCTGGAAAGGTGCAGGGGTTGGTGAGATACTACCTGCTGTATTACCAGTTTGTTTATGTTCTGCTGTACCAAACATGTTAATCTTGATTTGCAGTTGATACTATACCTATTTTTTTGTTATAATGAAAATAAGTCACAAAACAATAAACATAGCTTTTAGATATATATAAATAGCACATGTGACCTAATGAGAGACCAGAATACTCTGTGTTAGTACATAAGGCATAGCAAAATGATCACCTTCTGCCCTTAGCAGTTTATGAATTACTTGTAAGACAAATTTTCACATATGATAAAAGTTCCATTTTATAGTACATTACATTTATGATGTTTTCTAAGTTTTCTGTGAGCAATTACTTAATCTTCCTTCCTATTCTTACACATAGAGTACTGGCAGGTCATACATTCATGCTAAATATATCGCACTCAGATGTGATTCCTGGATTTTACTCACAGTGTTAGTACATTGGCCCAGGCCTACTTATGTGCATCTACCAATATATACGGTGCTTAAATAATACATACAGAGAGTGTGAAACACCACTTAGTTACGTACCTCAATTTACACATGGGTGTTAGTAGCAGTAGTGCTAGATACTGCATCAAAGCCCTCTTTTTGTCAAAAAGATGGGAATTTGGTGGGCTCAGACTTGTCACTAAAAAAAATAATTAGAGCTGCAAGACAAATTTGTGTCTGATTACTGTATGAATGGAATTGGTTATTTAAAATTGGTTATTGGCTGTCTTTTTTCTGCTTGTTTCCAGGTTGCATGGCCGATACCATGAAATGGCACCAAACGTTGTGCCCATGGACTATACAAAGGACCCAGATGTTAAACTACCTATGCAGCTTATAATAAACATGCCTGAGCTAAAGGTATCACTTCTGACTGCTTACAAACTGTGTCTTAAGTTATGCAGCTCATCTGCCAGAAGAGGTTTTGCCATGTGAGTTTGATATCCTGAAGCAATGGGGCATGCTGAGGTCACAGAATCACAGAATGGTTTGGGTTGGAGAGGACCTTAAGATCATCTAGTTCCAACCCCCCTGCCATGAGCAGGGACACCTCGCGCTAAACCATATCGCCCAAGGCTCTGTCCAACCTGGCCTTGAACACCGTCACGGATGGAGCATTCACAACTTCCTTGGACAGCCCATTCCAGTGCCTCAGCACCCTCACTGTGAAGAACTTCTTCCTTAGATCTAATCTAAACTTCCCCTGTTTTAGTTTAAACCCATTACCCCTTGTCCTACCACTACAGTCCCTAACGAAGAGTCCCTCTCCAGCATCCTTGTAGGCCCCCTTCAGACACTGGAAGCTGCTCTGAGGTCTCCACGCAGCTTCTCTTCTCCAGGCTGAACAGCCCCAACTTTCTCAGCCTGTCTTCATACGGGAGGTGCTCCAGCCCCTGACCATCCTCATGGCCTCCCCTGGACTTGCTCCAACAACTCCAGTCCTTCTTATGTTGAGGACACCAGAACTGCACACAATATTCCAAGTAAGGTCTTCCCCTTCCTGTTACTGTTCAAGGGCAAAGCTAGCCCCAGAAACTGGAAAGTATTTAGGTGGATGTCTGTCTCACAGAGATAGTTGGGATAGATGTTAAATGAGTAGGATATATAAATCTAGTGGTCTTTCCATTTTCTATATATTGATCCTTAGAAGCCAGTGGGATTTGTGTGAAAAGCTGGTTGGCAATCAGAAGTTCTTATCTCAGTGTGTTGACAGGAAATTTGCCAGATTATTTTTTGTTACTATTTTGTCAGTTCCACAATCGAATATGGTTTTAATGGGACAAATATAGATTTTTATTTTTATTTTTTAAACAGTTCATTGAATTCGGCTTTCTTTTATGTATGCGAATTATTTGACAGCTTTAAATTTTTATCATGATGATACAACTATTGGTTCACTGCTACACTTGCATGAAGTATTATTAAGCTTTTAAAGAGCCATGCCATAAAAACCTTGTAATTTATGGCCTTCCACTTCATTTTAATGATACAGAAGTTCTTCCTTAATGTTGTAAGATATGGAATATGTGAGAGGGAGAAAAAGTACAGCCATAACCATTCAGATGTCTTATAAATATTTCACATAAGTTTTGTATAGCATAAATGTTTATATTGTTTTTCTTATTATGCAAAAAAGGAAATTAGTCAACAGACAGAATGACAAACACTTGTGGAAAATGCCTTATGTTTTAGTTACCTCAAATTAAGTTCCATTTGGAGATAGCAACAAAGGTTTCCAACTTGATTATCTAGAATTAAGTATAAGGTATAAGTAGGTATCAAAACCAGTAGCCTGCTAGAAGTTGCTAGCACAAGCAGACCTCATAAGCCCCTCAGGCTGTATTCTAAAGTCTAGTATTAAATGACTCAATGGAGCTAAAAGTTAGGAATTGGAAAGCCTGCTCTAAGTCATCTTTGTACAAGATCATAGGATCAGATTAAGATACCACCAGGTGAATAGAGAACAGTCATGCACAACTTTTCACAGAGACAAGGAAGTATTCCATGAAATTACAGACAGACAGCTGCCATAGTGTGGATATATTGAGGAATTCATTGTCACAAGACATTTTGGCAAGGACAGCATTAGTCTGCAAAAATGACTTAAGTGCTTTTTGGATCAGAATGCCACAGATTGCCATCAGAAGGATCACTGTATACATCTCCTCTAGAAGCAGTCCCTAGATCTGCTGGATTTATTCTTAATGGCCAGGAGAGGTTTGCCTGAGATGATATAATCTAAGGACCTGCTCTTAGCAGTTACTTGGAAGCAGTTATTTGAAACAGCAGCTAGTACAAAAGGAAGATGATTCTTCATCTTGAAATAGGAATATTTGCCTTACTGAAATGCTCTGATGTTGGATGGGCAGCTGTATTAAATGCAAATCAATGTTGTGTGGAATACAGTACCAAAAAATTACTAATAGTCTTAACTATGTGAATATAAACTACACAGCTTTTTTAGTAGCTGGCAGGATGAAATAGTATTGTCTAAATATCTTGAAGTATTCTGATTATTTTCAGCCATCTGCTATTTTTGCTTCTGCATAGATATTGAATTCTTCTCCTTGTGGTAAAATGTATCATCCCCAAGGGGTTTTGATTCATTCATCCATTACTGCAAGTGTCTGCAACTCATTCATCACTGTAGCGTCTTAGGTGCTTCTACTGGCACTTCTGGTATAGACGGTCAGTGGTGTCTCTAGGATCTTGATAGTGCCATGTGAAATTCTCTCTCTTGGTTACGTGTGCCATGTGAAATTCTCTCTCTTGGTTACGTGACTTCAGAGTTGAGCTGCCAGATTGCTGAGAGTTGATTTGTGAAAAAATAAAAGCTGAGTTCAGTAAGGGAGGTGAGAAATGATGATCACACACATTCTTTCTGGCTTCAGTGACACAGGATTGAACAGTTAAGAAAACGCTTATTTAGTGAAGACTTTAGGCAGTCTGGTACTTGAGATAAACCAGAAATTTTATACTGGACTATGATTAGATTTTAAGATACAGGAGAATATCTCACTACCTTAGTGATCTTAGGTGGTAATGATAACAGACTTCCTAATAGGCTTCCATATGTGAAGTGGATCATAATTTATCTTGTTGCATGACATCAAGTCTTCAAGGCTTTCTGACCCAGCTTTAGCAGATATCTCCAGTGTAATGGAACTAGATTTTATGAAAATAACAGGACAATATTCAATGTTGGATTTTATAATAATTCTCTCCCAAGTCTCAGAAGGCTGTGGAAGAACCTTGCAAATATTGCTGTCAGACTACTCATTTTATTTCAGGAATTCTAGCAGTTCATAGAGAAAGTGCTTTCAGTAGCTAGTGAGGTTGTTTCCAGTAAAATATCAGTTAGAAGAGACTAGATCTTCCTCTGTAACTCTTTCAAAACTTTGACACTGAAAAATACTAAAATGTCACCGAGGACCTCTGTTATAAACCAGTCAATCTAGTCATAGAACATTTGGTGAGTACCTGCCCAGATGCGAGAGGGCAGGAAGAGTCTTTCCCCTAGAGTTCATTTTCCAAGCTATCTACGTAGTAACTTTAGCTCATATATGAAGAAAAAAAATATATCTTTAACCTTTGCAACTTGACCAGAGCACTAAATAAATTGCTACGGTGTTTTCTTTCTTCAGTAGATTTTCATCAAGGCGAAGACAAAGCCAACATTGAAATCTTAAAATAGAACTAAATGAACTAAATGTCTATTGAATTCTACTAAAATTAGTGATAATTTCAATGCACCTGGCTTTTTTCATATACACATTATATTTCTAGTTACTGGCAGTGCCGAGCACAATACCACTGCACATTCTGACAAATGGATAGAATCAATAATGCACTTTCCTAAATTAGATTCTGCCACTGTAAAGAAAGATCTTTACCTCATGCATTAATGTTTTGAGCCAGGATTTTTGTATTTAAAAATAATAATAAAAACCAGCTGATGCTCACTTACTTGAATTTGTGATGAATTATTCACAAGCTCATGATTCTTAAAAGTTGAAAGTCAGGACAAGAAATAAATAAATAAAGAAGGGGCAGATGCTTTAAGTTGATTAGATCTACCATTACACTGAAGTTACCAGAGCTAGTTTACTCCATCTGCTTCAGTGCAGTCTCTGTTCTCTAATTTTGAAGATCTTTGTTACACAGGCAGCAACCTAATAAAATAACTTTAGGGCATATGGACACCTGTGAGACTGCAGTGATAAATATTGCAGCATTGTAGCAATGATGTGGGCTGTTCAGGGTGAGACCATGTAGAAGCAAAAGCATCTTTATTTCAAAACAAAACGAATTTCACTTGCATTATCCCCATCATTCCCACAGAACAAAACACAGGAATGTAACCTGATGACAGAGATCACTTATGAGCTGTACAGGCTCATAAGGTGGCCATCTTCTTTGTGGCACATCCATCCCTGATTGTCTGAATCTTCAACTTGGTGTGTGGCCTGTCTCTGGTTATTGTAGTGTAGAGCAATTCTTCTGTCAGGAGTTGGGCATAAAAGGACTTCCTGGAGGGGAACCATTTTTGTTTCATTCATTTTACAGTCCGTTGCTTTCTTTTTTTTTTTTGGCTCATGCAGTATCTTCATTGATCCTCGCAGGCCTTGTCATTAGCTGCAGCAGTGAGTAAGGTAGTTCATAAATCTACACACTACAGAAACAGACTGACCACAGGAATCAGTCAGGAGAGAGAAAGGACACTCGGGGGACAGCAAATTGATCACACATTTCAGAAGCAGTGTTAGCACCCTATTTTTGGTAAGTCCAAACATGAATGCATGCGAGTGGTTTCAAAATAAGATGAAAACACTTCCTACACTTTTAATAGGATGGAATTTTAGAAGTGATTTCAATGGGTCCAGAGTTTCAACGCTTCCCATGTAAAGGCAATGACACTTGAGAGAGCAGGTTGATTCTTCCCAAACCCCCACCCCTGCTCTGGCCAATCTTTTTCTGCAGCTCATCCCAAATTTCTCATCTCTGCATCCAGTTAGTTATTTCTAGTTCAGTTCTGGTGTCCCCAACAAAAGAAGGACCTGGACTGTTGGAACAAGTCCAAAGAAGGGCCACGAGGATGATAAGGAACTGGAGCGCCTCCCATACAAAGACAGGCTGAGAACATCGGGGCTGTTCAGCCTGGAGAAGAGGAGCTGTGTGGAGACCTCAGAGCAGGAAGTGGGCCTACAAGTGTGCTGGAGAGGGACTCTTCATCAGGGCCTGTAGCAATAGGACACAAGGGGCAATGGGTTCAAACTTAAACAGGGGAGTTTTAGGTTAGGTATAAGGAAGTCATATCTAAAACTACTTAGAGCATTAACTATCTTCCCTAATGTCAGTGGGGACTTATGTTCAAATACAAAAGAGAAAATGATCATTATGTTTCTGTAGGCATAAAATGAGAAGTGTTTTGTAGTGACTGTCCAGCTCTGTTATCTTGACCTATCTTGCAACTTTACTTGCAACCTTTAATTTCCAGAATGTAGTCAGCTTGTGAAAATAGGATACAGTACTTTAATTTGTTAAGCTGCAAAATGAATAGGGCAAAAGGACAGCTCAGTCCTTTCCAAGAGCCTGTGAGGGAAACTAGAGAAGTAACAAGTGACTTGGTAATTTTCAGCTGTAATTTCAGGAGTAAACCCTGTAATAGTTTCTTAGAAAACTAATGGCTATGTGTTGTTGTATGTGTTCTATATATGTGTGCTGGAATAGATGCCACGTGTCATTCAAAAATGTATGTCACATGTTGTCACACAGTTATCTGAGTAGAGGAAGTGATCATTAAAAAGGTGGATGGCACATTTAGGAGGGTTATCCAAAGCCACAACAGCAGCATCAACCTGCAAAACAGCAGAGTTTCAACTGTAACAAAGTTCTGTTTCTGTCTCTTCTCTCATTTTTGCTGTAAGAGGACAGAAGGAGCTTTTTAACAAGACAAGGGTAAGTTTCTAGTTCTAAAAGGATTCTTTTTTAAACAATTAGTGCTTGAGGGAAAGCAATCTATTAAGGAACAGTATCATTTTACTCCCTTCCCCCATAGCTTTTCCTTTAAATATTACGGAACCCTAATCTGTGCTCTTTAGAGCAGAGGTAATGAAATTACAGAAAGGATGTGAAAAGTATCTGTGAAGGTAAGCTAATACTTTCCATTGTGTAAGCTGCAGATATACTGCCTGAAGACACATAATATGAGAAAGTTAAAGGAATCAATATGAGGAAAGATTTTATTTTTCATTTAGATTTTAGACCCAAGCATGCTTCTTCAATAACTCTTTGCCAAATAGATCTCTATTGTAGTTCATCTGTATTTTCAAGATCTCTAACATGCCAGATAGATAGATAATTCATCTTATGCAACTGCAATATGCTTATTGAGTCAGGGAACTTATGCCTAGCATTTCTAATGCAGAAAGTCCTGGGTTTGATACTCAGTCCTGATAGGGACATTTGCATCTGTGTACTCCCTGTTTGTTACCCAATACCACCTCTAAGATGTCACTTTACAACTGTTACCATGACACTTAGTTCGATGAGGTTTGTTCCAAAGAAAGCAGTACATATATTAGAAATAAAAAAGATGATTTTTCTAACACGTTTTCTCATTTACTCGGATGTTTACTATTCTCTAATATTAACTATTTAACAGATACACCTATTTTTTTCTGTATTTTTAGGAAGAAAATGGGCCTTTTGATGTATTTGAGCCCAAATGAATCTTACTTTGGGTTATTAATAAAAGGACAATTTGAAACAATAAAACCAATTGTTTTGCACTGGGTGTCTGTATGCATATTCAGACCAAAACAGGCATAATTCCAAGCACTCAAGTCAGATACTTTAGCCTTAGCAGTACCCACAGATGCACATCTGCTCTGCCTCCTCTACACATCATGCACGTGATGCGAGTGATCGTTGCATATCCTTTTACAGTGACTTTCAGCCATCTGGCTGATTCTGGGGTGTTGTTTTTCATTCTGAGACTATTGAGAGAGGTGACCTGCTGCTTTTTTGAGGCTGTTGTCTTTTCCTTTTCAAGAATCCCTCTTTTCTACTCTATTTAATGTCTTATTTATTTTCATTTGGCCTGGTTTTGTCTTCATCGAAACAGTGAGCTCAGCCTTATGTATTCAGCTCAGAGCACAGTGAGCTTATTACTCTTGTACCCTTTGAAATCTGTAGGCACACTCTCTGTCGTAGAATTACTTTGGTCATGGAGCCCTGTAGGAGAATTGGAATTTAGTATTGACTGCTTTAATGGGCTGTCACTTGATCTTATGGCTTTGTGGTCCCTACTTCATCTATCCATTAAAACAGCCTTATTCTTGGCCATTCTTTCTGCTAGGAAGACTGGAGTGATCTTAGCATTTAGTAGTGAATTTTGAATCTTAGAATCATTTAGGTTGGAAAAGACCATTTAAGATCATAGAATCTAACCATTAACCAACCACTGGCAAGTCCACCACTAAACCTTGTCTGTAAGTACCATATCTACATGTCTTTTAAATACCTTCAGGGATGATGACTCCATCAATCCCCTGAGCAGCCTGTTCCAGTGCTTAACGACTCTTTCAGTGAAGAAACTTTTCCTAACATCCAATCTAAACCCGCCTTGGTGCAGCTCGAGGCTGTTTCCTCTTGTCATATCACTTATTACTTGGGAGAAGAGACTTGGTGCCCACCTTGCTTTATTCCTCCTTTCAAGGAGTTGTAGAGAGCAATAACATCCCCCCTGCGCCTTCTTTTCCTCAGGCTGAACAACCTCAGTTCCCTCAGCCCAGTTCCCTGTAACAGCTCTGTTGCCCTTCTCTGGACCTGCTCCAGCACCTCAATGTCTTTCTTGTACTAAGGGGAACAGAACTGAGCACAGGATTTAAATCCTGATTGTCTTAGGGAATTATGTTTCCAATGTCTGCTTCTCAGATCTCACACATCCTTAGAAGATTGTCGCTCACCCTAATGGTTTGTCATTAGATGGGTATTTGCCTTTTTGGCAGACTCCAATTGGAGTCTTTTGGCAGATCCCCATTCCTCTTAGAGAAATTAAGCTTTTGTATTCTATGCTTGTCTTTTAACAAGAGTTCTTAAAATTTTTTCATTATTTGAGGCTAAAACAAAATATATCTTAACTCTGTGCGGGTGACAGAATCATTACGCTTCCAAGTTCCCCCTGCGATTTCAGTTGAACACCTTTATCTTCAGCTCTTGTTGTAAGCTGCTGCACACCATTTAACAGTTGTTGAATTTCACTTTAGAGGCAGCTGCATATTAGTGGTAAGTAGCCCAATTCTTGTAACGTACTTTATGTTCCTTTAAGGTGAAGGATACTACATACATATGAAACATCAATCTGTTCAAGTACCTTTGCTTTGGACATGCTGCTTGTATTTTTTTAGGATATGCAATCGAGCTCTGAGCTTTCACAATACTGCTTCTTCTAAAGCCCAATAAAATGCTGCATGCATATTAAAAATAATGAACATGATATGCCACCACCAGAGCTGTTTACTTTTATGGGAGATCAGTCTGTGTTTTGGCTTCAGGTATGATCTGTAGAACAGCTTTGATGAGTTGCTGCTCACAGCCCAAATGATGTGTGTGTGGTTTGTTCGTTTTCAACTAAATTCATAGAATCACAAAACGGTTTGGGTTTGAAAGGATCTTAAGATCATCCAGTTCCACCCCTGCTGCCATGGGCAGGGATGCCTCACACCAAATCATGTCTCCCAAGGCTCCTTGAACACTGCCTGGGGTGGAGCATTTACCACTTCTTTGGGCAACCTGTTCCAGTGTCTCACGACCCTCACTGTAAATAATTGAATTGATTTTTCCCAGTTTTATAGACATAGCTATAAATTTATTTTGGGTTTTCACGTAGTTGTGTTACCGTAAGAACATTCTGTTTGGACATGAGAGTAGTAAAGCAACTTATGCTTGCTTGTGTGTTTATGGTTCTAGAATATTGTCTGATTCAGGATCAGCTCGACACCAACTTGGCTGATAGAGTGCTAGAAAAAGATCTTAGTATCATCTCCTGCAGAGATGAAACTCCATTTAAAACTCTGGAGTCCTGTAGTAAGTTCAACCAGAGGTAGGATATTGATGTTTATCAGAGTGAAAATGAAAGACTTTTCTGCAATATTCTCCTGGGATGTGACTCTACATCCTTAATGAGCAGGTATGGTTTGGCTGATGGTGGATTGACGGTGCCATATCAGTCAGGTGTGGAATTCAGATATTTACTGTCTAAAGTATTTGTTCCTCCAGCCTTCAGTCCGGTGGCATGAAGACCCCATCTGTTTCATTGGCTTTCCACCTTATCTCCATTTCCTTCCACTCCTCTCATGCCCTGTTCATGTGTGCTATCTTCTCCATTTAGGAGCTGTAACCCTGCTGACCATGTCAGTCTTACACCCTGTCAGGAACCTGTTACAGGCAAATGATCTTCACACTCTTAGTATCTTTACCCTTGCAGTTACAGAGCATGTGTTTCACACAGGAGAAATGAGGTGAGCACCAGTTTAGACAGAATGAGCAGCAATGGAGCTGAAAGCCTGGGTGAGCAGTGGTACTATGCAGCAGCATGTTCTGCTGACACTTTCTGCTAAAGCATGCACATGGAAATTTTTAGATGGATTTTGGAAGAAAAGAGAAGTTGTATTCAAAGAGACAGCCATGGAGTGAAATACTCATTAACAGTGACCCTGTGGGGGTTTGACCTTCTGAATACTAAAACCAAAATATATCTGTTTTCACAGGAGAATCCCTTCAAGGAAAGGATTGTGGAATCTTTCTCAGAAGATGGAGAGGGGAGCCTCAGCTTCAATGACTTTGTGGATATGTTCTCTGTGCTCAGTGAAATGGCTCCCAGAGAGCTTAAAGCAATCTATGCCTTCAAGATCTATGGTACTGTATTGGGAGGCTTTTGTGTGCTTTTTTCATTTAAAGTAAATGAGTTTGAGAGTTGTTGGTGATCTTTCTTTTGGTTCTTTTATTGTTTAGATTTTAACACAGACAACTTCATTTGTAAATCAGACTTGGAACAAACCCTCAATAAGCTGACTCGAGAAGAGCTAACAGCAGAAGAGATCACCCTGGTTTGTGAGAAAGTAATAGAAGAAGCTGACATGGATGGTGATGGGAAACTTGGATTTGCAGATTTTGAAAACATGATTTCCAAAGCACCAGACTTCCTCAGGTATTGTTTTAAGGAAAGGGTAGTCTCTTCCATATTTTCAGACACTTTTTTAGGATATCACTGTGTAACACAAGAAATACAAGAAGTGCCAGACATAAGTAATTCACTAAAGAGCTGCCTAGATGATGACTTCTTACCCTAACTCAGTTTACTTTTCGAGAGCATATTCCAGGTCTCTCCTAACTTGAAGGCTAAGAGCTTACCTTCTTTGGTTTTTGTTTTCTTTTTTGTTTGTGTGATTTTGACCTAAGCTTGAATTCATATTGTCCTCAAGCCTTTAGCAGGAATCCATGATGTCTGAATAGGAATGTGTGTAAATACTGTATACGCGTTACAAATACACATGGTAACGCATTGATCTTTTGTGCTGAGAAGATGAGAGTTAGAGGGCATTAGAGTGGTACAGTTCATGCTGGTAGCAGAAAATCAATTAAAATGATGAATTACTGCAGTAATCCCATCTCCACTGTTAACCAGTTTTGGGGGTTTTGTTTGTTTGTTTCTAACTGATATTTTTTTTATTGTTGTTGCAGAGTTTCTTCCTAATAATCTGCAGATAAACCCCTGCTGACTTAAGGCAGTTCTTCTGGCATGTTTCATATTTAAAGAGACCTTTTGAAAAGGACAATAACTTGATATTTTTACACATTAATAAAACATCTTACATAAACTTACAGTTAAGTCTATAGGAATACGGGGATAGACCTTCTTTAAGAAATTACAGTGAACCAGCCGGTAAAATAACATACTCCCAGATTGGAAGAAGTTCATATTTGAATCTTAAATCCACTGGCAGAGTAAACTGAAGCTCTAAAATCCAGGTCTAAATTTCTCCCCAAATTTCAGTGGTCTGGGTTAACTGTGTCTAATAGTAAATGCTTGATAACCTGAAAAGGTGTTTTCCATTATCTTTGCTCATACACATTGTTGTGAAGTTTGATAGTATTGCTGTATGTCTAGTGATAATGATAACATCCAAGTTCTAACATCCGGGAAGATAAATAATCCAACGATTGCAAGCAGGTATACAGTCTTGACTGTAAGTTGCTTGGGGAATGCTGGAATTAGTAAATTCTAGTTTCTGCAGTCTCAAGTCTCCTGGGGAGGTGGCTGATAGCTGAGAAGGTGTTCAGCAGCAATTTTTTGCTGCAGTTAAGGTGCGAAGACTGGTTCATGTATGTGGATTTTCTAATGTCTGAAAATACGCAGGATTATTTTTCATCTTTCTATGACATGGGACACTTAGTGGCTTTTTTTTACACAGCTGCCTGCTTGCAGGAGTTGGCAGAACCTTAGTCATCTTTCAGTCACATGTTGTTGAATTCTGCCAAGAGATTGAGAAATTACGGTGGAGGATCACCAAAGTTCACAGTCAGACTGATTGAACAAACTGTATTTTCGTAGGAAATAAGGTTAAACATTAGAATAGAATAAAGATGGATCAAAATTTGGACTGATAATGCTGATGGTGTTTACAAAGTTTTAAGTGTCCTGCAGAACACAGAACAGTTTATTTCTTTCATTAATGAAATTTCTGAGGAAAGACATTAGAACAAAATGATTCTACAATAGAGTATGAGGACAGGATTCCTGTGAACCGTCAGAAACATCAGTGCCTCAAGAGAATATGCCGCAAAGTTAATGTGGATGCATTTTATACATTAGAAACATGTCAGGCATTCTTTGACTAATCAAATGTAACAACAGAAACTCTTTTAGAACAAGATACATCTCACCATTATGGCGAGGGTCAGCTGAGTAGGTATTCTAATATTTTATTTACATATATTTCCACCTAAGAAAATGTTTTCTTTATACTGTTATCTGCATTAGAAGCTGCTGGGGTCAGGCAGTTTCCTTTAATCAATCAAAAGGCTGTAGTGTACCTGCAGATCTGGTATAGAACAGAGATCAAATGTGAAGAATTGAAGGTAGATCTGAAGACTCAGCAGAAGCTGTAGTTTCAGAAGTTTCCTGTGCCATGAATGACTTTACTGCTGTGTTGTAGAGACTTGCAAACTGCTGACTGAGAATTACAAGCTGAGGATGCTGTGCAATCCAGACATTTCCTGAGAAAGCAGGGAAAAGCATTTGCCACTGTAGTCGTTGAAATGACTGTCATAATTATTTTTCTTCTCCAAGTCTGTGATGATTTGTGAGGCTGAGGAGATGGGTGGAAAGTCCTGAGTGGTGGGTACTCAGCAGTGCAAGAAGATGAGTAAAAAGAGGGATGAAGTGACAAGTATGCTCTGCCATTCCTTGAGCAGGTGATATCTGCTCTGTTATATGGGACCAGTGCTTACTTGACTTCTGACAAACATTGAGAACTTTTATCATATGAACTGTCCAACTGTAAAACGTCATCATCATTAACATGAGATAAGAAATTACTGAGGAGAAATACTTTGTTTATCCTGTTTGTGGAAAACCTTTGAAGGCCAGATTCCCATAACAATGTGTACTGTGTTTTTGAAGCACTTTTTCACACAGCTCAGTATGTTGTTTGAGTTTATTTAAGCTGTCATCCTCTCAGGCATACTTAATAGATACAGCGGGTGTTCATTTCGGCACCATGATCCAGGCTTTGACCTGGTGCAAGCTAAGGTTCATCCACTGATTTTCCTTATCATTTGTTTCTCAAACCTTTACTTAATGACCCTGTGTAAGTTTAATCTCCTACAGACAGTCTTTGCAAGCTCTGTACTGCTGTCAGGCAAATGAAGATGCAGTACAAGGCTGCTGCTTGATTTGTACTGCTGTGGTTGAGGAATTTTTTTTAAGCCCAGAAGAAAACACTGCTAATGGTTGGCCAGGGAAGAAGATACATGCATTTTTGGCTGTTATCCCAGAAGCTTGGGTAAGCTGTAAATGATAATGACAGTTGCTAGTTCAGAAAATTTGATCCCAGTAGGCTTATTTCACTCAAATTTGCTATCATTAAGATGCCACTTGTAGTTTAATGGAAGTATTAGCAGTCTGAACTGGCACTAGCTAAGTGTTCTGTTCTACAAGACTGGTTACGTTTTCCACAGGAAATTGTTCTATAAATCATCCTGGAAGTTTAAGCTTATTTGAATGCCTGAAGGTGAAACATACTATAACAATTGGAAATGGAGTTTGAGCAGAATATAACATTAGTAACACCTGGGAGCTGCCAGAACTAGACAGAGAAACAACAATGTGTTATTGGAAATGCAGCTTTTCTGAAACCTTACTGGGCCTTCACCCATAAAACAGTTGATGCCCTGGCTCCAGTCCTACCTGAAGCTGAAGTAACACAAACTGTCTTATAGGAAATGTGCATCTCATAAGACCTGTCCCAACAGGCAGATTATCTAGTTCTCAAGGACCAAAATTAGAGCTAGTGACAAATGGGCAAGAGATGCTCAGCAAGAAAGCAGTGGAAGGGAGTATTTATTGTCAGTGTTTTTCACAGAATATTTTAGCTGCTTCTTAGTAAGAAGCTTGATTTACAAAATGATACGAGACGTTTCTAATAAATAGATTCCCACTGAAGTAGATTTGGCTGGATTTTTATTTTGAAGGAGTCATGACTAAAGACTTTTCACATCCAATGCTGTGAATTTTTTAGCTCCTGTGTTTTTTGCCTGTGTGGGACTTAACTTTTCAACAGGTTGGATTAACGTGGGGCTCTAGACATTGCTTGAGTTGTGAACAGGATGTTCATCTTTTTGTTTCTGTAAAACATTAGTACTGGTAAGCTCTTTGCATCACCACTGTATGCTTTCTTTCACGGTACTTAGGCTAGTGTGCCAGACTGCTATACATCATACCCTTCAGTGTCACCCAGACTGAAGACATTCCTACGCACAAAGTTCCTAGTTACCACTGTGAATATGAAATTGTATATCCTCTGAATACATACTACAGGCATTCCTTCAGTGAATTCCTGACTCAAATCAAATAGCTGTGAATAAGTTAGAGCATTGCCTTTGTAAGATGAAATCCAAAACCTGTACATCCAGAACTCTTCAGCCTCTCAAATACTCTAAACTTCTAGAGTTTTCTTTCAGTGTAGGCATCGAAATGGTAGAATTTACATATAAAAATACATAATGATCCATTATTATTTCAGTCAAGAAAGAAACATATGGTTTACACTGTTGTGATGTTGAATAGAGATTGCTACCTAAAGAAAGTGAGCTTTCAGCATGCCCTCTTTAAATTGTCTTTTACTGTCCTGTAAAGATGCTCAGGAGTTCTTCTGAAAACCGATGGCAGTAGTAAGGCATACTGCTTGCCTATTTCAGAGTGCAAATAGAAAGAAGATAAAATCAGGGTCTCTTGCTCTTAGCAAGAGAAACAACAAATTTATCTGCCTATTCTGACTTGCTTAGGAACCCAAATTCTGTGCCATAGCAAAAGTACCACTGGGAAACATTTAGCTCTGCTGTATATCCAATAAATAGGTCAACTTACACTTGATTTACTCCAGTGCTAAGCTTGCCTCCCTAATATTTTCAGAAGGTGGAGTTTTCTCCCAGGATGCTTAAATCTTTCTGAGAACGTGAGAGAAGAGATTCAGATGCATTACACAGCACCTTCCTTTTTGTACTTGAAGGAAAATGTGCATAATGACAGATGTATTTATATCTCTTAATATTTTTCTTTCCTTTGCAGTACTTTCCACATAAGAATCTGAAGATGTTTCTGTGAGCCAGTGTTATCAGAAATGACTTGCCAGTCCAGCCTTTCTGAATCTCAGGCACTTTGGGGGCTTTTGTCCTCTAATTATGGCTTCTTAGAACTCAGCAGAAAGTACTGAAATAATTCTGGTCCACGGAGAGGCAGATGCATCATGTGATCCACAGGATATTTGTAACAGTCACATTTTTATCTCCACTGCTGGCCAAGCACTTTGGCGAGGATCGTTGGTTGTTGGGTTGTGGGGTTTCTTTTTTTTTCCTCTCTCTTTTTTTAAACAGGCAGAATCAGAATATTGTTAAAGGTGTTTCCACATAGTTTTTATATTTATGAATATTTAATACTGCTCTTAAAAGTGCAAAAAATTAAAAAAAGGACAGAAAGATTAGCTTTGATGGCTTTTCCAAAAGTATTTGAAAGAAAGCAAGGGCCTTAAGTAATGAGATGCCTCTATCACTGTGTTGTACAGCTGGGGATCTTGCATGGAAATTATCTTCGGTGAAAAAACTGCAGTCAAGATCATGGTCCCAGTGTTGAAGACAACCACATCCCAGGTTTGCCTTTCAGTCCCAGAAATGGCAGTTGCTGGGTTTGGTGCTTACCTTCAACCAGTATTTTATGGATTGTCATGTCCTTATGAAACTTGAAATATTTGCCTTTTGTATATGGTAACTGTATACACAATTCCTTTCTTCCCAAGGTAAATGTTAAAACTGTGTCCTTATTCTCAAAGGG